TTTTTTTACAGGGAAGGCATTCTTTCTGAAAGGAGCAGGATGGCGCCAGCCGGCTCAATGCTCACAGACAGCTGTGGCGAGACGCAACTTAAGGAGGTTCTACTGTCATCAGCACTGAGTGGGAGGAGCCTGTCATGGGATAAGGAGGGGACAGGGCACGAAACACAAGGAAACTGCAACCCAGCTTTACTCCTTTCTACTTTACCCCCCTCCCCCAATATCCCTTCACCCCCGTGACCGGAAAGTCTCTGGCTGGAAATACTGAGACAGAGTTAACACGACTTTTTAAGGGGGAGAATATTCGAATGCACGTGAAACAGAAATGTTATTAAGGGCGTAACCAATACGTGTGTCTTATTATAGGATGTTATTAATTATTATTATTTTCTTTCATTCCGATGCACCATCCCTACTCTTACCTACAGCACTTACTTTGTTCGGGAGATACACGGAATCTGAAGACACAACCCGGCCATCAAGAAATGATTTTCTATGGTGACTCCTGGCCACCCTCGGAAGAGTTTCAGAGAGCAGGTGAAGGAGACGTGTGGAACTCTACGTTCTTTGTCGAGCTACTAATGTATCGTTTTAAAGCATTACCCCTTCCAGGCCAATTAGTTAATTCCAAGTAGGACTAATCTGGGGCGACAGTTGTACTTTAGAACGTGTGTGAGAGGGTGTTTGTTCCTCCAATGTGTCAACGTGCTGGAACAACGCGAAGAACCATTCTTTCAGAAATACCCATTCTTTCGGAGTTGTTCCTTTATTACATCCGATTCCATTCAGCTGAGAAGAAAAAGAGATCCAGGAAACAAAGCTCAAGCAGAGCGTAGTTTAACGTACCATTAAAATAGTGAAGGAGGCTTGGGCGGGGGGGGGGGGGGAGGGGAGGGGGTTGTTTGGGGGAGTTTTGCTTTTGTTCTGTTTGTTTGCTGGTCGTGAAACCAAGCGGCAACGTTGCAGCTGAACATGCCTGCTGCGATCTCCTCTCTGGGGCTCAAACTCCGCGAAAGTTAGAAAGAGAAAGTTCCTGTTTTTCTCAGCGCTCGTCTGACCACTTTCGTTTCCACAGGCCGGCACAAATAATAATTAACACATTCATGCCCCATTACGACCCATGCGGCCTGAGTGTGCAAATGACGTGCCCAGAGCCAGCTCCGGGGGTGAAAGAGGGCTCGGGACGAGCCCAGGCAGGGACTGGCTCCTGCGAAGCGGGGTGCACCAATCAGGAAGGAGCAGGAAGTGGGCGCTTGTGAAAGCCTTTCCTGATTGGCTGGGAGCTTTCGAACCGGCTCTGGCAGTTCGGTCTATTGAGCCATTGCATCCCCTAGTGGCTCCGAGGCAGGCAACAATGTGCAACAAGTCCCATGGCTTCCCCCGCGGAGATTGCAAACTAGCAAAGTGTCAAGGAAATCCATAATGCAATGGAAGTGTGCACGGATCGGGGAGGGGGGGACTTCAAAGGCGAGAGCGAAATAAACTACTAGGCAACAATATATACAGGGATAGATACACGGGCAGCAGATTGATCCTGTAACGTGGCCCCTTTGTGTGAGTACAAGCCCCAGCGCTTTAATGAGCCTTTCATTCATGCAAAAGGCGACCTACGCGGAGTCCACTCCCCAGCGCTCCGGGCTAACTGGAAAACAGGGTGCTTTTAAACGTATAGTCTCTTCATGCAGCCTCGCGCCTTGGCCCTGCTTAATTTCATCGGGACAACACCTTGATTTGGTCCACAGCAGCACCGAACGAGGTATAAAAACGTTCCGCCTACGTCAGCCCTCCAAAGCTTTAATTAGTCAGCCTTATGTTTAATATGCAAACTGGAAATTGCTCCGCACACAGCCGACAGCGAGAGAGATTTTATGATAAAATAGTAATGAGAATTAAATACATTTATTATGCGCATATTTGCATGTATGCCAATTGAATTGTTTTTATTACAAACATGCTATATTCTACTTTGTCTTTCTCTTCGTAGCGGATAAATGGCTACCTACATTCAGTTACTTTTCTGAGTTGGGCAGTTCTGAGGCGTAGAGACAGAGAAAACATACCGCAGAACTGTTGGGCTCGCAGGAGTAAACGGATAAATATCGGTTTATCCATCCCGGGTTGAAGATGAACTCTGGGGATGCCAGACATTTAAAAGAGAGGAGGGCGGTCACGGATATAAACAAGTCCAAGGGCTTTTAACTAATGCAATAAAACGAGATGAGCTAAGCACTCAATAGCTAATCTCCCGGGCTCTCATTCGGAACTGTTGAGTGTACAGCTCCGAGCACCGTGCTAGTGATTTCTGGGTGCGCTGGCACGGCTTGTTTGTTGCCTACAAGCGCTGAGCGTTCCCTCGCTGCAGTCAGGTAGGCACCCGGGCTGAGTCGAAGGGGATGCTCTGTGTAATGGAGCCGGGGCTGCAAGGAGGGGTATTCAGTGTCTGCTTCCCAGCTTCTCCCCCCGCCTCCCTTTGACTCCTGGATTGACAGGGTGTAATTGGGAAATGGGAGGTTGCTCTTTTGATGCTCTCTGCATTGCCCTTCGCTGGCCAGCCTAGCCGACGCCACTGGGCATTGACGTCAGGGGCCGAGCTCAGAGCCATGCTGCCGAGGGGAAGCCATGCTGCGTGCCAGGGAGCCCATTAGCGGGGCAAGAGGCAGGCAGGCAAGGGGCTGCAGAGAGAGAGAGAGAGAGAGGCGCTTCTCGGGGCTGGAGGGGGGCTCTCTCTCACACACACACACGAGACACAAACCAGGCGCTCAAGGAGCCCCGTGCATTAATTAATCTGAGACGCATTAGGTTTAGACCAACTCTTCAATCCTTATGCAGAGTAACGGTGCAAGTGTGTCCACACGATTCCCTTTTCCTGCTGATCTCTCTCTCTCTCTGTCCTCGCTTCTTCCCCCCCCCCTCCTCCACCCCGCTGTGGACTGGGATGGAGGGGGGAACATGGGAAGGATCCCCCCCCCCCCCCGTAACATTTGCTGGCCTCTCCGGTTCCCTTTCTTAGCCTGTTCTCTGCATTAGTCAATTTCACCATCGGAGAGTGGATGCTGCAAAAAGCGCCGTCTCTCTCCCAAGACACACAGCTGTCTCCTATAGGTAAGAGGGATTCTACTTGGATTTCCTTTTTTATTTAATGTCGTTATTTATTGCTTAAAGCGATCCCAGGAGGGGGAATCCTGCCGGACTCCATCAATTTCAAGGGCAATTCTCTTTTTGGGGGCAGGGGGAGGCGGGCAGGGGGTCATTTTAAAGGCAGCCCCTTCTCCCCCCTCTGACTGTACAATGTGTCAGGGCGTCTTATGATGAGACAAGGAACATTTTATGAAGACCCCTTATACAGACCTAAAGCCCTCGGGGGAAACACGAGATTTCTAGAACAGATTGTCTTGGAAGTTTAATCCCCCTCCCCCCCAAAAAAAGTGAATGAAGATGAGAATGAAAATGCTTCGTTCCTTGTGGTTATAGGATGATCATCGTAATAAGATCAGTGTTTTCAAAGCGCAGATGTTAAGATGCCGTGACAGGTTAGGTGAGATAAAACTGTATTTAGAAAGAGTTATAGCCAAGCCCACATAAACTTGCAGGCGTACAGCGAGACAGTCAAAAGGAATATCCATGTAGAAGTCGTAAAGTTGCTAATCCCAGCAAAGAAAACTTGTGTTTCTGGGAGCCTTGGGCGATCATTAAACTTGTTTACATAAGTGATTTGGAGAAGAAATGTTTCAATTTACTGCAAAAACATAAATATGTGCATTAGGGCAAATATGGATCATATCCGGCACGAGGGTAGAACTGGAAATTTGTACTTCGTGGAACAATCTTACACTGATTAGGGCATGGACTACAATGGCCTAACAAGTCTAACTACTATAGCTCTAGGAGTGAACACCGCTTTGTAAAGGACTCTGGACTAATTCCACCAGCATCCCCCAACCCTTCTGTTACAAATCTGTCACTTTAACTTAAACATTTCTCTGTCTTCTCTTTAACTTAGAATTGTCTGTGCAACTCTTGAGACAAGAGGGCGGAGGGGGTGAAAACAAAAGGTGATCAAAAGAATGCTGGGGATTTGGGGCTGGTGGATTGAAAGCAAACACCTCTGATGACGCGTGTATTAGTCGTTATTCTGCAGAAAATAATCATGACCTATTTCTTCATTAGTCCTAACTACTCCGAACATAGTCCGGAGATAGAGTTTAAGAACAGCAATGATAATGACACGACGATCTATTCACCGATGGTGGCTCCTTGAATATTAACATCATCCTTATCATTACTGGGGGGCTAGGAGAATTAGGATTCCCTTTGCAACCCTTAATCGCCCTCCCCCCCCCCCGCTACCCGTTAGACTCAGCCTGGACTGTCCCTTCCCCATCCTTGTCCAGTTGAGTACGGTGCAGTTGACATAATTCTTTCCACCCCAGCGGGGGCCTTAATTGACAGCTCGGCTCTAACAGGGGCCCATTGTTGGAGCAATTAGCAAAAAAACAATAGGGGTTGCGTTGGGGGGGGGGGAGGCGTTTAATTCGATTTGAAGGTGAGGGACGTGGCACTGAAATCATGCAG